AAAAAAAAAAAAACGATAAAATATCTTGTCGAAGATTTTTATTTTTATTCAAACAAATATTATTATAGAATAAACCAAAGCCATTTTATTTGTCTTAGTTAACTAATTAAAATAAATCTTTATTAATATAATATCAATTTAATTCTTGAAATATTTCGTTTAAAAAAAAAACATTTTTTTTTCTAAAAAGTTGAATAGAATTTTAGAAAACAAAATTTTTTTCATTTATCATTTGAATTAAATTTCATAATGAAAATAAATCATAGAAATTAATAGGATAAAAAGAAAAAAAACAGACGATGTTGTTGTTTAGAATAAATTGACAATAAATCGAAATAAATCAGATGGAATTGTTGAAAATAATGATAAAAAACATATTAAATTAAGTCCATATACAATGTTTTATCGGAAATTTTATGAATATGTCTTATCTCGCCTTGATCTTATTTGTTATCGTTTATATGGATCTCAATCAAATAAATATGAAAAAATCATTTGGAATTTATTTGAAAATTATACTCAATTATTATTTCGTTCACGATTAATTCAAGTATATAAATCAATGCCAAATTCGAAGTTAAAAACAGTTCGAAGTGTTTTTATTCGTTCAATTAACAAATATGATTTTGTTGAAAATGAGATTTATATTTAATTAAAGATATTTATTCTTTTTTTTTCCTTCAAGATAAAAACTCATGTTTAACACCATCAAAGGATATATAATTGGTGATATAACTAGTTTTTATAAAGAAATATTTCTAAACATTTCGAATCTAGATAAAAATTTAAAAGAAAATCAATTAATTGATCTTCCTTATAGTAATAAAACATTTGAAAATATTAAATCAGGACATGTTAACGTAAATATATCTTCAATTAATTATTCATCAAATAAAACTCAAACAAATTCAACATCGAATGTCTTATCATCATCGATTCAAGTAGGTAACCTTTTGTTCTTTTCTTTGTTTTTTTTCTTTTATTATTGATTATTTATTGTCAATTGTATAATTAAATATTTATTTAATATTATTTCTAATAAATATTGATCATGATAACTATATATTAATTATTATATTCAACAATAACAAATATATATATACAAGTTATTTAATCGACAATGAATTAAAATATAGACGATATATTGATCCTTAACAAGATAAATTCATTAAAAAAACAAAAAGAAAAAAAACAGAAGTCGAATTCTCTATTGAATTTTCGATAGAGAATTTTTCTTTTTAATAAAATCTACGTTGGAATTAAATATTTGATTAGATTTGAAAAATTTTCATTAAAAAATTCTAGTCAAATAAATAAAATCTTAGTTGAATTAATCGAAATAGAATTTATTTATTAGATTCTTCTCTTTTATTTAATATAAAACAAATAAGAATATTTGTCTACAATTAAATAAATACATAAGAACTATTTTTATATTTCGATCAATTTTATTTAACTTAATTGAATAATAAAATTTATTTATTTATTCAAACATTTTTTTTCTCTCATATTATGTAAATATATGAAATAAATAAATATTTAGTAAAATAGTTGTTAGTTGACGTATTCAAATAAACAATTAATTAACATATTAAATAAATTAATAAAATAATAATATTATTTATAAAATTTATTAAATCTAATGGAATTGAAATCATATGAATCGTATTGAAATTTTTTTCTTTTTTTTTAAATAAATAAATTCTAGGTGCAAATGATACAGTACGAACGACTCGAACTTGAACTGAAGATGGTAAATTTTTAACAACTATTGCAACAATATCAAAATAAATAATTCAAATGAGAATCAAGATAATATTCTTATTAACAGAAATGAAAAAAATCTCTTTTTTGGTCAGTTAACAAATAATTCTATTAAACGAACATTTTCCGATGATTCAAATTCAAATTGTTTAACAAAAAAAGTTTTACAAATTGAAAAAGATCGACAAAAAATTGAAGAATATGGACTTTTTCTTTATTTTCTTGATTATTTTATATTTGACATTTATTAACAAATAAATATAAGAAAAAAAGAACAGTTTGCTAATTTAATATGTATGTATGGATTGTTTCAACATGAATAAGAACTTCAATCTATGGTCTATCCTAAGAAAAAAAAACAGCTGATTTAGTTGAAGAGTAGCAAGAGGAGATCAAGGAAATGTTATTTGCCGTTTTATTCATACATATTTTGTACCTTTATTACCATCTATACATTGTCCACATGTTGGTTCAACTGGAGGAGGAGCATGTGCTGATAAAACAATCGACTTTTATTATAATCAAACAAATTTTCTGGCTTGTGGTCATAAACAATAATAATCAAATAAAATCATGTTCTTTTTTATTTTTTTTTCAACTTAAAATTTAAATAATAAATTGATATCATTCATAAATAATTACCCGAAAACTAAGATGTGTGAAGCCACTATTAATATATATGTATCTCTTTAAAATCATAGAAATATCGGAATCTTGAGATATGAGAATGCTATTTGAATCTAATTTCAATATATTTATTTATCAGTTGATCAGTTGAGATAAAACTTTCTAAAAATAAAAAAAAAAATTGAATTTTGAATGGGATATGAGCAAAGAAATTATTG